AAATCTACTTATTTATTTATACTATATTATGAAATATTTGATAAAAACTTTTAAAAATTAATTGTTATGAATGAAATACTGTTTATTGATGCATATTACTTAAAATTCAAGATTATAAGTAAATTATATATAACTACAACAAATAAAGCTATATTTTTGAATTCATATGACTAATTGCAGATAAATATATTCAAACACAGGATAAATATTTCATTTTAAATATACAGAATCTAAAATATAATTAGAATAATAATTAAGTTCTAACAAAATAGTTAATTATTATCTTTATAAAAAATTATATTATCAAACGAAAAACAAAAGACCCAAATTAAATTATAATAAAAAATTGAATTAATTTTTTTTAAAAAGAGAATTTTTAAATAGTTACTCTGATATTAATATCGATATTTTTTTAATTTTCTTATATTATCTTCAAATTTATATTTTATTAAGAAATAAAAACATTATCGTTTCCTCAAAAATACATAAAACCGTATTATATTGACAAAAACAAAGATAAAAACAAAATATTAAAATCGAGATGTATCTCACTGCATTGCATAAGTATTCTTCTAGTCTTATATAAAATATTAAAAAAAAAGTTGAAGATGCTCTAAAATAACGAGGATGATGTTAAAATAACATTCTCTATGTTAACTGAACTCTTATAGGGTAAGATTTACTGCATCATCTCATCCATTGTTTTTGGAGGGAAAGGTAAAAGAAGAGAAAGTTGTTATGTGTGGGAAGTAATTCTGTGATCATATTTAGATCTACTGCTGTGAAGATTCATTCTTGTATACGTATCTATAAAGTGAGTTTTACAATGTCTTGGTGATTTTCACCCTGTAATTACAAAGAAAAGGGGATTTCTCAATAGACCTTAACTCAATTTGTATTTTAAAAATATGCATTGCATGTCAGACTATATCAAGAGATAAGGGGAAGGGGAAAATGTGAAATTTTCCTGTTATGCTTACTTGATTTATGAAGAACAACATGTTAACTGTTGGATTTTTAGAGTTCTTGTTTCTATGTTAGTTATGTACAAGTATGCTACGAAAATTTTTGATAGTCAATTTTGTAATATAGTTTCTTGTACTGTTGAGACCAAATATATATTAATTGTATTTCTGAATATATGAAATATATGGTTATATGGAATATGAGACGTTACAATTCCTATATATTATTAAATACATCCTATCTATTTTTTATTAATTAATTGATATTAAGAATTAATTTTTATATTTTCAATGCATAATTTAATATGATTCTAGTATAATAAGGTGGGTATAACAACACCTGATATAGAATCTCATGTAAAAGTTTGTTGAAAATTATCAATTTATATACAGTTTAAAAAGTTTGTTCAGGTATTAAAAGTATTGAATATTTTAATAACAAACTTTGCAGATCTCATAAATTCAGGTCTTTTTATATTACCAACTAACTTTAAAACTCTATAAAATTAATCAAATTGTAAATGTTAAAGAAAAGGAAATAATAATTAAGGTGTCGTTTACCAAACATCTTTAAGGTAAGTGCTTATTGGATGTCATTTACCTTAACAATAATATGGTAAAATTGAGAAACTTACCAGATAATTGAGATAAAAAGATTATTACCCAATAAAACGTTTAGGAAATTGACTAAAATAGCCGACCTCTCCAACCAAATTCACTTTTAACCATTTTTAAATCAAATTCTCATTTTAGTTAAGAGTTTGATAAAATGCCTTACGCATTACGTAATACCTATTTTCCAATTAAAAAAAAGGAGAAAATGCAAATTACGTAAAATCATTTATATAAATATTTTTTAATCTGAAAATAGGTTTTACGTAAATACGTAAGACATTTGTATAAACTTTAACTAAAATAAGAATTCGATTTCAAAAATTGGCTAAAAATTAAATCATGTTAAAAGAGATTGAATGCTTTGGTCAATTTCCCTTAGCATCTCCAATGGAGGTTTTTTTTAATATAAAATATTTTTTTTTGTATTTTTTTGTTACCATCTCATTTCAAACTCATTATGTTAAGAACTTATATAATAAAACAAGGTTAAAATTGTAAACTGGTAATAAGCAGTTTTTTATAAGTCAGGAAAGATTAACTTATCAAAAATAGCTTATTACCGGTTTGACACCGGTATAAGCAGTTTTTTTTATATCCAAACACTAGAAAACAACTTATCATCGATGCCAGACTGAAATAAATTAAAAAATAATTTTTATAAACAATCCCAAACACCCCATTGATTTTTTTTATTTTAGAATGTTTTTTTTACTAATAAAAAACTCGTATTGAAACTGTTTTAATTATTTTATTTTAAGAAAATTCGAGAAAGTAAAAGAATGAACGGGTTTTTAGTGAATACAAACTTCAAAGCAATATCCATCTACAGAAACTTTAACCGCCAGCTGTCCGGTTATCACGCGCACCTGTCGCCTTCTAAACCACGTGTCATCTCCTCATTGGTGAAATCTGACTATGACATCATTGACAGCAAAGCACAGATGAACCTAGTGACTGTAGTTACAAATAATCCTCCAAAAAAATATAAATAATTTAACCATGGTTAACAATACTGGTTTAAACCCATGTGGGGTCCCCATATCCACATCTCTATTAAACCCACACCCACCCTCCAACCATTTCACATTCAAACAAATCACAGGTGAGATTCAGAGAGCTTTTCTCTCACACACACACACACTAAAACACACACACACACACTAAAACACACACTTAAAAGATTTCTTGAGGATTTTCTTTAATTTCATCATCTTCTCCCCCCTCTGAATTCCCCCCCTTCTGTGTTTCCCTTTCTGTAAATCATCTGGTCTTCGTTAAGAAAAGAATTGGAATTAATTTGACTTTTTTTCATGGATTTTTCAAGAACGGAAAAGCAAACTTGATTTGGGATCTCTTTCTTCAACCAGGTGTTTTCAGAATAGCGATCCATCGTTTTTTAGTTGGGTTCTATTTCCATCTCATTTATTTTCAATTTTTGTTTATAAATCTTCACAATTTCATCAAAATCACACCTTTTTAGGGCTTAGTTTCGTCCCTGTAAGGTTGATTTCTTCAGAAAAAAAGGTTTGATTATTTGGAAAACCTTCAATTTTTCTGGGTTTTGTTTATTTTCTTTTTGAAAATTAAAAAAGAAAAGAGAAGAAGATTAATGACGTCAGCAACAATGGAGTTCTGGGATACCGTTGGTTTTCAGCACTCGTCGTCGTCGACGGTGGCCGGCGGTGAGCTCATGGAAGCACTTGAACCTTTTATCAAAAGTGCTTCACCAGATTACCGAAGTACCCTCTCTTCTACTTCTCCTTCTACTTCTTATTCATACCCTTCTTCGTCTTTTTCTCCATCTTTTTCTCCTCCATCTTCTTCTACACAACAACCATTCGGATCGTACCCGGATTGTTACTCCAATGGGTTTTCTATTCAAGACCCGTTTGGTTACGAACAACCCGGATCTTCAGTCGGGTTGAACCAACTTACCCCATCTCAGATCTACCAGATCCAAGCCCAGATCAACTTGCCATTGCCAACCAATGGAACCAGCTTGAACTACTTGAGTCCGAAACCCGTACCCATGAAAAAAGTCGGGTCACCTCCGAAACCAACGAAGCTTTACAGGGGTGTGAGACAAAGGCACTGGGGAAAATGGGTCGCGGAGATCCGTTTACCCAGGAACCGTACCCGGCTTTGGTTGGGTACTTTTGATGTGGCTGAGGAAGCCGCTTTGGCTTACGATAACGCCGCGTACAAGCTGCGTGGTGAAAACGCGCGGCTTAACTTTCCTCACCTCCGTCACCACTGGTCACAGATCGGCGGCGAGTGCAGCGACTACAAGCCGTTACATTCTTCTGTCGACGCCAAGTTGCAGGCGATTTGCCAGATCTTGGCGGAGGGGAAGAGCATCGACGGTTGTAAAAAGTCACGAAGGTCATCGGCGGCAAAGCCAAAGACGGTCGTGGAGCAGGCTGAGGTTGTGAAGGTTGAAGGATCGGAGAGTGAAGGCATTTCCGGTTCCGGCGACTCTTCACCGTCGTCGGAACTGACGTTTCCGGAGTTGACGGTGGAGGAGAGCGCGTGGTGTGATTCCGAGAATTTTTCATTGGAAAAATGCCCGTCGTATGAGATTGATTGGGGTGCGATCTAGCAGTGTTCGTTTATTTCTTGTTTTGGTACATCTGGTACAAGTCTTAGCAGCGATAAATGTCTATTTTGAAGGGTATATTTGTAATTTGGTAGGGAAGTGGGAGTTGCTGCAATCGAGTTTTTGGCAATTGCAGAGCTTGGACTTCGTTTTTTAGTGGGTAGTTTGGTAAATTCTGTTGGTTTGGCTAGTGGTTTTTTCTTGGCCAAATTCCATGTTGGAGTATTAATTAATTACTTAGTTTGTACCATTTCATGTGTCTTTTGGTGGTAGTGTTATATTATCTTCTTCATTTTGCAATTATTAATTAATCATTTATTAAAAAGATAAAATAATAAAAAGTATTCAAGTAATATGAAAAATGATAATATATTTATACTATATTATAAAGTATTTGATAAAAAAATTCAAAAATCATTTTTTATACATAGTATTGTTTATTGATATATATTACTTAAAATTCAAAATTACAAGCAAATTATGTGTAAATATAACTTATTAAAGCTTAATATTTGAATTCGTATAACCAATTTCAGATAAATATAATCAAATAGAGAATAAATATTTTATTTTAAATATAAAAAAATTAAAATATAATTAAAATAATTATTGATTTTTAACAAAATACTTAATTATAAATAAAAATGAATTAATAAAATACACAAAAAATTAGAAATTTTAAGTAGTTAGTCCGAAACTAATAACAATATTTTTTATTTTTATGATATTTTCATATTTATATTTTATTCAAAAACAAAAACATTATCGTTTTCTTAAAACCACATAAAAACTGTATTATAACATCGACTAAGACAAAAAAAAAAAAATGAAACACTAAGATCAAGATGTAACTCGTATTGTACGTGTATTCTTCTAGTTTATCTAAAATACAATAGGCTGGGGTTGGTTTAATTAAGAGACTAAGGTTCATATATAAGGGGTGTTTACTAGATGTTTACTCTTATTTATATGATAAGCGTTAATCATGGTAAGAGACAAAAACTCTCATTTATCGGGTAAGACTTTCGGTCCTTGCTTTCGCTTTTATTGGGTAAGATTCTTGGTCCTTGTCATATACATCCAGTAAGGTAATGTAACTTAGTAAACACTTATTCAGGTAAGCGTTTGATAAACGGCCGCTAAATCTATTTAGAAAATTTGAAAAAACTCATTTGAAAATGTATATGGGAACCGTTAATAATATTTAATTATGTATGCATATTTAAATACATTTCCAACAAATTCTATATTTTAAAAAAAAATTTGAGCAATTTTGTGCTTTAATAGATTTTGTAAGATGGAGAAAGTAGGAGAGATAACATGTCTCTATAATAAAGAACTCTACAAAAACGATTAACATGAGATAGGAATGATATTTTTAATATTCCACCAATAAAAACATTGAAACAAAATGTTTGGAAGATAAATAATATTTTATTAAATGTTCGAAATATTTTATTAAATGTTCGAAATATTTTATTAGTATAATTACTATTTTACTTTTTGTTTATTATGACAGTAACTTGGATATAATTTATTATTTTAATTAAAAACTAATTATAGTTTTTCTTGTTTTTAAGTTCCATATATTGAAATAAAATTTTTATTTTGCTAATTTCAATTCGGAAAAAGGAAAACTGAAAAAGAAAGAAACACGATCTTAATCCAAGATTTATCCTTTTATCATTCTATATTTTGTATTCGGGGTTTTGGTTTTTATGTCCCCCCTTGTATTTTTTTATTATAATTAATAAAAATCAACATGGGGATGAGACACTTAGCTTGAATAGATTCTAAACTCTTTAAAAATCGCATGTTTCGTTGTTTCATTGACTTAAAAAAAATAGGCTTAGAAACATTTTTTTTAATTTCCGTACAGGGCATCAAAAATCTTAGGACCAACCCAAATTAAAATGCCATTATACAATAAATAAAGTATAAATACATAAATCTCAAATTTGAAGGATCAACTGGTCATTTAAGAATCAAAATCAGATTTTTTTTCTAAACATTATACTACTGATTTTAAGTTGTAGTAACTAGAGTTCATAATAAAAGACGTATTTAAGTAAAATAACTGTATCAATATCCATGCCTCATAGTAAACGTTTATTCAAATAAGAAAATAGTTTCTATTTGCGTTAAATTGATTTTAACTAGTTCAATTTTCGATTCAAATTCAAGTTCGGTTTTGAATTTTTTTTAATTCGAACGGGTCGATGATTTGATTTTGTCTGCATTAAATCCACAACTTGTTTATGCATTTATCGTCTTCATTACTACTCATAAAGTAGATGTTGATGATAGTAGAAGACTCATTAGATGCACGTGTTTTCAAACTGTTGTTGTCAGGTAAAAGTAGAAACACATTTATCTCTCACTTTTATGTCATTTTACATTGTCATCTAATTTATTTGCCAAAATCTAATTGTTTAGACAATTGTTATCTTATCAGCTAGTTTGCTAAACATAACCTAAACAAGTCATGCTTATTTTCAATTGGAAACGTCTTGTTCATTTTCGATTTGTGCCTTTTGTATGATAAACATACAGTTATCATAGTTTCCTAGTCAGTAATCTTTTATTCCGTTTATAATCATTGTTGATTGTTGATAGAAAAACTATTGGTCTTCGTCTCCTCTACTATATGAGATCTTTAATGCATCTCCGATTGATTCTCTGTAGTTAAGAAAATGGAGATTTGGGGATTTTGGACAAATTTTTGAATCAACGAATTCTCCAAAACTTTTTTCAAAATGGAGAAAATATGCAAAAAAAAAAAAAAAATGTGAAATTCTCCAAATTTGGAGAATTCTTTGTAAGTCCCAAAGTTGATCAATCTTCAATAAAGCTTCAATAATCCATGACAGATATGATAATCTTGTAAGAATATTATGGAGATGAGAGAAAAAGTCAAACCTAGTCAATGCTTTATTAACTCTCAAACTTTACGTAATATTACAAATGAGCTTCCTACACTAAAAATTACAAAGGACAAAATCTATTTATAGGGTCAAAGTTCAACGTTCTAGTCAAAGTCAAACTATATACACAAAGTCAAACACGATGTTTATTTAATTATAGACAATAGTAACTTTCAAGACGAATACAATTTTAACACTAAAAATTCAGTCCTAACATTCTCCCCCTTTGTATTCAGACTTGAAAGAATTTACGCACTTTGAATCTCGTTTCAACTTTGTCTCTTTAAGCTCTTTATGACTTCTTCAAAATCTTCAAAACAATCTTTACTTTGAAATCTTCAGATGATCGTTAGTTGAGAAAATCTTCTAACATTCTCCCCCTCGAATGCAGAACAACAACGATCTTCTCTTTTGACAATGTAGAACAAAATCTGCAACGATCTTTAAAAATGGTTTTCAAGATATAATCTTCAAGGATCTTCTTCAAATAACAGATAACTAACATTCTCCTTATAAACAAATTTCTTCAGATAAAAATTTACAAACATTTTCTACAAAATTAACATTCTCTTCGATGAGAGATATCTATGTAAAAATAATTTTCACATTCAACTTCTTCAAAATTGACTACGATGAGGGGAAAATAATTTTTTATTGATAAACAAAGAGCAATAATATTTATTAAATTTTATAAAATATTTAAAATATAATTAATAGTAAACTACAAATTTGGTCTATGTGGTTTGTTAAAAATAACATATTTTCATCCCTGCAAATTTAAAATCACAAGATGGTCATTGTGGTTTATAAAAACGTCATGATTTGGTCCCTCTCTCTAATGACCGTAAAAGGATTACGTTAATTGAGGGATATTTTTGTCTTTTTATTGATATTTTTGTCATTTACTCAATCAAAAACCACATGGACCAAATCATAAAATCGGCTTTGAACAGTTAAACGATAAAAATAATAATAAAAGAACGAAAATGCTCTTAATTTAATAGTTATTAGAGGGAGAGACCAAATTCGAACGTTCTTGCAAACCATGATATTCATTTTGTAATTTCAAAATCATAGAGACGAAAAGCGTTATTTTTGATAAACCATAAGAATTAAATTTGTAGTTTACTCTATATTAACTGAGATTAATGTAATCAGTTTATGTGGAATCTTAATTTAATTTTGTATTTTTTTAAATAAGATTCTGAAAAATAGGTTGAATATATGTTAATTCGCCGATATTTATGACATTTAGTGAAGACGGTTGGGTTGGATACACGTGATATGATTTGAATGGTAAGTGAAATGAATTAATGAAATGGACACAAAAGTCAAAATAATTTAATTGATAATAATTGTAATTCTTTTAATTAAATAAGAACAAAATGATGATACTAAAACAACTTGGAGAAAATGTTGATTGTCATTACTAATGATTTATACTAGAGAATCCGATTATAAGTGAATAAAAATAACATATTTGATATGAAGACAAAACCGTGAGTTCAAGTGTGGATAAAACGGACAAAATCTGGTACGATTAGTCTGAGATGTTACACAAATTGTGCGAACTTATTTAAAATTTGAAGGGAAGGGGATGGTCTGTGCCAATTTTATCTTCAACATAAAGGAGATAAACAACAAAATCGTGATGGAGGGGACATGAGCGCCTGCTTGGAAGTAGATGAAGTGGTTGTCGTGGTTGAGGACCGCCTAGAAGGTTGTTGGTTGTAGCTGTGGGGATGACTAGGGGTGGAATCACATCATAAGGGATGTTGGTTGTGATAGAGGTCTGTCGTGCATTATATAATGGCTGTTGTGCTCGATTGGGGCTAAGACTGAAAGGGTTGTTGGTGCAATTAGATAGTCCGATGGTGGAGTTGCAATTGGTGAGCTACTAGTCACAACAAAGGGGCTGTCGTTTGTAGCAGTTTGCATGTTGGCTCGTGTAGGGACCATGGATTCAATAATCATAGTATGAATAAGCTTTATTAAGTGACGATATGTAATACCTTTGATTTTTAAAGCTTTCGTTTTGAGCCATTTGTAACTTCTGCATGTTTTTATATAAAGTATTATGACTTTTTAAGTAACATATGCATGTTCAGGGATAAAAAAAGATAAACAAAAGTAATTTGCATATTTTTTGCAGCATCTGGAACCAGTTCGATTATGGTTCAGTCGAGTTACAAGTTTTTGCTAGAGTTGTTGTTCATTTGAATGAAGGAATCAAATGTCTGATGATGGAAGTTGTTTTGATGGCATGCAATGATGTGTTAGGTTACTTTTTAGTAATCGACTAGATTATCTTTTTGGTCTCTCTT